CCAGCTGCGACCCCAGCACTGGCGAGTGCCTCTGCGCGCCCGGCTACACCGGCGTCTAGTGAGTGCAGGGGCCGGGCGGGCTGGGTGGGTGGGGATGGAAGGCGGAGCTGGAGGAGGGATGGGCAGGGCCTTCTCGCTGCGGTCCTCCAGTCCCTTCCTGAGTTCCTAGAGCAGGGCAGGGTGGCCGGACCAAAAGGAAGGTCTGAGTGTCCTGGCTGTGACACAAGCACTCTGACCCCAAGTCCGGCAGAGTCTAAAGGCTCAGCCCTAGTCCACGTGAGGTGTCAGGCCCTGTGGTGACTGGTCCCGCCTCAGACTACGTGAGTGCGCCCCCCCCCAGCAAAGGAGCGTATTAAACACTACCTGGGGGCCTTCCTGGCGACGTCCCCCACCCCGCCCCAAGTTAGCCTGGGTTTCTCTTACCTCCTGCCCCTAGGCACCTGGGGCTGGGTTGCCCTTCTGCCTTGTGGGCTAGAGAGGTGGAGAGGACCCAGGACATACATCACCCACAGATTGGCGTGCCTACTGTGCCTGTTCTTTCCTTTCTGTCCTCGACCCCACCAGCCCCTCACCTCAGCTCCCTGGAGAGTCCCTGCTGACCAGGGACCTCTGAGGCCGCTCAGTCGAGACCCTGTCTTGGGCCAGGTTGAAAGGCTCTGCAGCCTCTCCAGCAGCCCCAGATCCCCTGGGACTCTGACTGCAGGGATATCCTGGATGAAGGGCGTCCCTTCCCCATTGTCCACGCCCAGGATGCTTTGAGCAGGAGCCCAGGCCATAGGAAGAAGACCCAGGCTAAGATCCCATGCCCACCCTCCTGGTGCACGTAGAGACGAAGGTGCAGAGTCACTCCCTGCCCTCTTACAACTATCAACGCCACACCACCCTAGTGATTACCCAGGCTTAAATTTAGGCGGTGGCACAGACTGCTGACATCAGAGAGACAGTGGGAGACCCCTTGGATCCGTGGTGTCTGACCCTATAAATACCAGAAGTCTGAATTATCAAGCCCCTTTTTTCTCCTTCAAAATTGAGTCCCTTTATCCCTCTGCCCTTAAATCCTCTTTTCCCTTCATCCTCCGTTCCTGCTGCCATCCAGTGATCTTCAATAAACACAACTACTTACTACATACTATGGGTGTATGCTTAGCAAGTCTTTCCTTGTCGTGCACAAGACCCTGGACTATTTGGGACCCACTCAACTGTAACGCTGCCACGCCTCAGCAACGCCCAGTCCCCACCCCCAGTAACAGGGGACCGGCCAGAAACTGGAAGGGACAAGCCCTAGAGTCACCTGTCTTCACACTGGAACACTTAAGTCATCCCCCAGTATTGGCCCAAGCACCCTGCATGCCATTGTATTGCCCCTGTACTCTGCTGTCCCCTGCTGGCATGGCCTGGGACTACATCTCAACTGATCTGAGTCCCAGTAATTCCTAGGGAGCCCTGGCATGTTGGGGTACCCATCTGAATGCTGCTGTGCCTAACACCCCTATTTCTCCCTGCAGCTGTGAGGAGCTGTGCCCCCCCGGAAGCCATGGTGCTCACTGTGAGCTGCGCTGTCCCTGCCAGAATGGGGGCACCTGCCACCACATCACTGGCGAGTGCGCCTGCCCCCCAGGATGGATGGTAGGTGACTCCCCAGGATCTGGGTGGGGCTTTGTAGCAGATCTGAGTGTCTCTCATACATGCCTTGATGGGCTAAGTTCCTCTCCCACCTTAAGTACCCACCCCACTTATGGTCCCAAGCCACCTTGGTTCTGTGGACACAGCTTTGAATCCCAGGTCTTCGATCTAAGTGCTGGGTGATCTGAGGCAAATTACTTAACACAGCTGCTGTGACATAGTAGGCTGCCATCGACCTGGGAGCCTCAACTGAGACCACGTATGTCACAAGGGACTGATGCAATCCACAGTTGCTTGGGTTGTTTTGGGTTGTTTCTGGTACTGGGGATTGAACTCAGGGCCTTTGGTCTGAGCTACATCCTATTCCTTTTTACCTTTAATTTTGAGACAGCGTCTTACCAAGTCACCCAGGCTGGGCTCAAACTTAATGATCCTCCTGCCTCAGCCTCCCAGAGTGCTGGGATTACAGGCATGCCTCAGGCTTACAATTGCTTGTTTTATGCCCTGGATACCCAGACTCCCCGCAAGCCTCCTTTCAGCCATCTGCCTCTGTCTGCCAGAACCTCTTGTGCAGCTCCAGCCCCAGAGCCGCCATGCCCCTGATCTGGCTTTCCTGGGCTACACGCACCCTGCCTCTGTGTCCTTAGCCACATGACCTATCTCAGGGAAACTCAGCAGCTCCAGGGCTCCCTCTCCCTTTGGGCTGAGGCCAGGGCTGCCGGGCAGAAGCAGGATCTTTCAGGAGGCTGTGGACATGGGAGAGAGACAGCAAGAGAGCAGGCCTGGTGGGACATCTCAGAGCAGGAAAGAACTTTGTACAGCAGCGGGTCCAGTGGGACCAGACTCAGCTGCGCACCAGGGGAGGCCAGCAGGTTAGGGTCTGTATTCACAAATAACCCATCCAGACTCTGAGGTCTCCTTCTACCTTCTTCCAGTGCTTTGGGTTCTCAGGGGTGAGGATGGGCCCAGCGGCCTAATAATTAGGACTCTGTCTCCCACGTCGCCTCCCCTGCTCCATCTTAACTGGTGTTCATGCATTGAGGGTCTAGCTAAGAGTTCACATGAAATAGCCTCTCCCTAGCCAGGTGTGGTGGTGCACACCTATGATCTCAGCACTTGGGAGGCTAAAACAGGAAGATCCCTATGAGTTACAGGCTGGTCTGAGCTGTGTAGTGAGTTCAAGGATGGCCTGAACTAAATAGCAAGACCATGTCTCGAAAAAGCAAACAAACAAAACAAGCCTCCCCTAGCGTGGAGAGGGTTGAACACCACCAATCTGTTCATACCTTCCTCCCTCAAAAGAGGAAGTTGAAGTCAGGCAGGGCTAGTGACCTGCCCAATGTAGAGCTAGAATCTGGGTCTCCAGACCTCCCGAATCCCAGCCCTTGGTGTCTGTCTGCCGTCCTTGGAGGAGCATAAAGGAACTGATGTCACCTCTCCCAGCCCTGCCGGTCCCCTCCCCATCCAACTGCTCTCTGGAGAGGGCCTTGCTCTCCAGCTAGGCTGGGGGTGGGAGCAGCTGCAGCAGCCTGGACCTGCAGTGGCTCCCTGAGCAGCCCCTGCAGCTTGCAGTGGGGGGAGGGGAGGCAGCCAGCACACAGCAGCATTTTTTTTCCTTCCCTAACAGTGAAAGGTTTGTTCTCCCAGATGATGGGAAACTCTGTCAATAGAAACCTTTGGATTTGAGGACTTTATGTTTTTAATTTAATTGCAGACAATTGCATTTCTATTTTTGACCTAGCATTTAACTTGCAGATTTGCATGAATTATTAATACCCCTCAAGCATGCAGAGCCACAGGGTAATGAAGCTATATCTCGGGCCTAAGGCTCCAGCCAGGGAGAGCTGGGGCAAAGCTGAGGACCTGGGGAGAGGGGTCCCTGTTGTCATCTTCTGTCATGATCATCGGCATCGTCTAACTTTCCCGTTGGCCCCCATGTGGCCCCAGGCCCACATCGTCCCACTCACACCATGCAAATCGCCAAGGCCTGGGAGGCTGCAGAGCTGGAGAGCAGCTGCCAGGCGCGCCGGCCCTGCAGGTCACCAGCCCTGAGGATGCCACAGCACACGCAACTTGCCAGGCTGCCTGATCCCTTCCTAGGAGGGCCCTTTGCAAAGAGCCCAGGAGTCCTTTCCCCTCTTTTTTCTGCAAAGCACAAAGCCCAGCTGGGAATAGTTGGGTGAGAGTGGGCATGAGAGACAGGAGGGAAGGTAGAAAGGGACACGGTCGCCCCTCAGGAGTTCCCAATCTGACGGTGGAGGCTCGGTGGCGTGTGTGCACACACATGTATACAGAGCCACGCAGAGCACACCATGGCCATCCCATGAGTATCCTAGCTGCAGATGCTCAGATTTGGGAGGCATCACTGTGGCCATCATGGCCAGGCCTGTAGTCACCATCACTTCCACAGCCCTGTGCCAGCCACTGTCCACTGAGGGCCCCTGCCATCCGGGGTCAGCAGCCATCAGTAGAATGCTTTCTGATGGTTGAAGAGGCCGAGCTGTCTCCAGGAGAACTGGCTCGGCCCCAAGGCCCTTTGCCATCTTGGCTCCTTCCTCTTTTTATCTTCTATTCGGCTGTGGGCAAATGTCCCTGTGTACAGAGCGAAGTGCCACAGACCAGGAGGCACAGACAGCAGGAATCGTTACCTTGCAGCCCCGGAGGCTGAAGTCAGAGACCAAAGTGTCAGCAGGACTGATGTCTTCTGAGGCTTCTGTCCTTGGCTTGGAAGTGGCTGTCATCTCTCTGTGTCCTCATACAGTCTTCTGTTTGTCTCAGTCTCCTCTTCCTCTCATGACAGGAGTGAGGTTGTATTGGGGCCTGCCCTTCAGATCCTCTTCTACTCCCTCCCCTCTGTAAAGGTGCTGCCTCCCGCACAGTTCCATGCTGTTGGAGTTAGGGCTTTGCCATGGGAACTGTGAGGGGATGCAGTTCAGCCCATCACAGCAAGCGATGTGCTGTCACGTGGTTGTCTCCACTCTTCGAGTCCCACAGGTCACACTGGGCTCCTACGCATGCGGCTCCGTCTGTCTGCTCATTGATATTCACGAAGTACCCATTCCTTAGCGCTGTAGCGGGTTCCTTCACACCTCTAATCTCAGTTCATCTTGACAGCCTTCTGGGAGTCCAAGGGCCACCACTCTCATTCTGTCGATGAGAAAGCTGAGTCCCAAAATGACCTGTGATTAGGCTAGCTCGGTCATGTGGGATTTGAGCCTAAGTCCTGTCTTTGAGTCCAGTGTTCTTCTCACCACACAAGGCAACAAGACTCATGAGGAATCAAATTCTTTCAGGCCCAGGAGCTCAAACCAGAGAGGTCTAGAGCTTTGTGGACCTGGGTGTCTGCATTTTGGGAATCCTGAGCGGGGAGCTGCGAAGGCCCTGGTTGGAAGCATTCTGTGAGGGACACACGCAGAGCTCGCGGGACTTGAGGCGAAATGACCCTCAACTCCAGCAAACACGCTGCACTCTCTCTCCTGGCTGTTGCCTGTGCCCCTCCACCTTCCCTTCTAGACCCTTCCCTCCTCTCAGAGCCTTGCTGTCTGGCCTCTGTCTGATTAATTCATCGCAACTCAATTAGATGGTCTGGAAGGATGACTCTGGCCTGGCCGGCTTTCCCAGACTAAACTCACTTCATTGGGCTTGATGATTATTGATGCTTAATAATTATGTGTTGAACTAATTGGTGAATTAATTAGAGGATCGTCCTTGATCTCCATAGGAGAAATGATTATTTCTGGTTTGTGAGAGGCTGGAAGGGTGGTAGGAGACAAGACCAGCCTCAGATGTCTGCTTGGGAAGGCCCTAAGATTGACTCATACAGCTTTGAAGTCACGTCATACCACAAGGCTAATACTGGAGGGGGACGAGAAAGAGAAAAACAGTCCCCAGCCCTGCTCCCAAGTCCCCGTAGACAAACACTTTCAAATGTTTCCGATGGTTCTTCTGGCGCATCTCTCCATTTTTCTACATCACATGCTTTACTGCCACTTCCTGCCTATTGCATTTTAGACGTTTGTTGATTCTATTGACTTCCTGCCAGAGAATAAGATATAGCTCCACTATACACACACGTGTGAACGCAAGCAGTCCTCCCACCCTCCCCATGGAACTGTATTACAGATTTTGGTTGGATCACTTCCAATGTGTATGTTAATATGCCTAAGTATGTGTTGTTACTGATTTATTCCTGCAATTCTGGACAGAAATCTAAACTTCCTCTCGGTAAGGTCAGGCACATCAGGAATCTCTCAATTAGTTTTTGCTTTTGTTTTGTCTTTGAGGCAGTGCTCTCAGAAGCCTACATTCTTCTATTCTGATTTGAACTCTTCACTTTCCAGGTCTGCTGTGTGGTTATCTGAAAATTTCTTCGACTGTCATTGTGAGATTCCATTTATTTCTCTGATCTGTTGGGTTCCTTAGACCCTGGAATCCAGGCCTTCTTTTTCTTGATAATTTTTTAGGGTAGAAAAAAATTCATTAGTCACTACCCAAGAAATACACATAGAAGGTTAATTTCTTGAGGATGTTCAAATCTGAAAATGCCTATATTGCAGCCTTACTTGAGTGTTAGTTTAGCTGGGTGTAGAATTGGAAGTTGGAGATGGTTTTTAAGACCTTGCACCATTGTCTTTTAATTTCTCATTAAGGAGTCTTAAGAACTTTGAGGCCTTGATTTTTTTTGTGTGTGTGACCATTTTTCTCTTTCTAAAAGCTTTGAGGATCGTTTCCTTAGCTTTCTCATCACTGAGACATAATACCCAACCCCCGCAACTTATAGGCAGAGAGGTTAAGTTTGCCCATGGTTTCATTCTGTGGTCCACTGGCTCCAAAGCAGACACATCACGTCAGAAGGCTGTTGGGAGTGAAGCTGCTTAGTTCATGGTGTCTCGGAAGGGTGCCAGGGAAGGAGGGGCGAGGACCAGGCGTAGGCCCCAAGGCCGGCTTCCACAGCCCACCCAGACACACCTAGAAGTGTGCTTTAATAATCAAACTGAAAATGCCCTACACCAGATATACTTTAAGGAGGTCTCTTCTTTTCCCATTTACTTTCTTTCCCTCACTCTGCTTCTTTCCTTTTTCCCTCCTTCCCTCCCCGTCCTTCCTTCCTTTTTCTTTTTTTCCATAGCTGAATATTCTGTAGGTCCTTTCTATTTAGAAATCCAGGCTTTCCATACTTTCATTCTGGGACATGTTTTTTTAAATTACACTTCCCATTTAGTTTCCCCCACGTCCATTTGTCTTTGTTCCATGATCTAGAACTCTTCTTAACTAGATGTCAGACCACCTGGACTTGTCCTCTAAGTTTATTATATTTTCTCTACTATATTCAGTTCTTTCTCTCCCTCTCTTTCTCTCTCTACTTCATAAGAAAATTTTTAAACTTTACTTATAGTTCTTCTATTGGAATTCTAAAATATCTACCATCTTATTTTTAGTTTTCAAGAACTCTTTTCTCAACTCCAGAAACCCCATTTTATAGCACTCTGTTCTTTCATGGATGAAATATTTTCTTATAACCTGAGGATAATTATGATAGAGTTTTTATTGTTTCATTATTAATTATGACAAAGGGTTGCTCCTTTTCTTCTAAGTATTCGTTGCTTCTGGCATAATTTCTGTGTCCTCTGTATCCCTTTGTCATTTGTTTCAGTCTTCATCTTGCACGTGACACTCAATTCCGAATGGCTCGTGGTCTTTGGCCTTCTGTTCATGTGTCACAGTGTCCTTCAGAGAAGCCAGCGGAAAGCCCTCAGGTGGATGGCAATGCCAGGCTTCTTGATGGATGGCACCCACGACTGAGCTCATCAATGTGCCCCAAAAGGGGTTCTCCAGCCTCCTGCCACGGGAGTGCATTCTGCATTGTGGGGGCTGAGCGCAGAGGGGGGCAGATGGATTTCTCCCCCACCCTCAGCATTGTCCCTGCATCCAAAGCCTATGTGGTCAGCCTTACAAGGCACAGGAAGTCATCTGGCTTTTGGAAGTTGGAGCAGAGGTCAAGGGTCTAGTCTCTTCTTTTATGACCTTGGACCATCCTGTTCTCACCACAGCCGCCCCCTGGCCTCCAGAGGATGCCAGTGTACCCAAGTCCCGAGCTCCCCTCTGAGACAAAAAGGGTTGATCACCCAGCGTTACATTGGTTTCCTGCACGTCCTTTGCAGCCACTTAGCACTGTAGAGAAAGCAGGAACCCAATCAGTGATCCCTCCTGCATCTGCTTTCCCAGCTCCCAACATGTTCCTCTCCTGTTCCTGCTCCCTCTATGTCCACTGTGGAGACGCGACGGTCCCTGGGGCCCCTGCAGCTGTGCCATTGCTAGGAGCATGGGGACTCAGTGCGGCATTGCTGAACACAACCATGGGTGTCTTCCTGCCTCTGTTTCAGGGAGCGGTGTGTGCCCAGCCCTGCCCACCAGGGACGTTTGGCCAGAACTGCAGCCATGACTGTCCCTGCCACCATGGAGGACAGTGTGATCATGTGACTGGACAGTGCCACTGCACAGCCGGATACATGGGGGACAGGTAAGGATGGTGGACTCAGAGCAGAAGAGGGCAACTGTGCATGGAACCTGGGCCAAGTGTCCTCACTGTCACGCTCTGCCCCCTGGGACTCTCCGAGCACCAGTGAGGAGGAGGCTGGCACACTCCTTGCCCGAGTGCATGTTTTACTTCTGGCTCCTGGATTTTGTTACTTGGCCCAGACAGAGGAAGGGAGAGGAACATTGTTTGCCATCCTGCTGCCTCCCCTGCCTAGTGACATCGGGAAGCAGGAATCAAGGCTAAGTCAACCAATGAGTCTTTTTAGCTCTGACTCAGAAAATCAAGGCTCCTGTTGCTCAAATCAGCCCCAATCCTTAGTGATGTCCAGAGAAATGTTGAACCATGAGCTTTTGCCTGCAGTCTTGTAGGCCAGATCCGATCTCTTTGCCAGCCAGAGTTGGTCTACAGGGGCTTTCCCAGCTCAGAGCATCGGGTCCAGTGTATGGAGATCTAGGACTGAATCACTGAGGCCAACCTCCCACCCCTACTCTGCCCCAAATATGGAAATGCTCTAGATAGGCCAGTGGGAACCAGAACCAGGAAGACCCTGTTCACTTCCTCGTTGGAAGCCAGCTGCCCACGGCTGCAGTCAGCCAAACCTAAACCCATAGACCCTACTGCGGCGGTGGCAAGCCTGAGGCATGCGTGACACAGGGCTGTTTGTATCACAGAAAGCTCTGTTGTTCTGTTTTTCTTTTAATGTATCAGTTTGGTTTTTTTTTAACTAAAACCGCAGTATTCAGGCTTAATTGCAGTGTTGGCACTTGGAGATAAATAAGTGGTTTTGGGGTTGCAGTTGGGCCCTTGGTCTCTAGAAGGTTCTCCGTCACTGCCCTCCTCCTTGGCTGTCAGCGGGCACTGCTGAGATGGACTGAATGAGAAATGGTTCAGAGTCTCTCTTCTTGGAGCCTGGCCCATGCTCCTGGGGCAGAGAGAAACCCCCAAAGCTAAGGGGTGCACTCCAGCAAGCTTGGCTAATCAACCATAAGAGGGTTCAGAAAGAGGGCCAGGTAGCATGTCGGTTTCCCACCTAAGCAGGCCACCTGGTGTTTAATATTTTGTAAAATTGCCTGCATTAATTTCATTGGTGACAGCTGCATTAAGCCACCCCAAATCATCACGAGCATATTAGAGTTGAGCGGGTGTAATAATGCAAGCCTCCCCGGATAGGCAGAAACCAGTGCAAATTAAACACAAAATATAACGAGGGCTTTGCAGCTCATTTTGTAATTTAATTGAGCAATGTATCTGGTTGTTAATGGCAATATCGGACACATTAGATTGATATGTTGCAAAGGACGGATGTTTAAGTAGAAAACTAATTCCTGCTGTGATTACCCTTCTGTTCCACAGACCTGGTTATTAGCATGCTTTGTGTAAAATTCATTAGCAGTCGTTGCTTGATCTCTAAATAAATAAGTTGTTTCAATTGTGAGTAGAAAAAAAATTAAAAGAAGCTGATTATGTAAATGGATTAGATTGTCAATATCTCCAGAATTTTTTTTCCCCAAGGCTGTGAACCCAGTCACCCACCCCCTAAGATATGGCGGAGTGGAGAATTAGCCTCTCAGGGGGCTCTGAGTCCAGGGCTGTGCCCAGCCTGCAGGGCAGGAGGCAGGAATGATTGAGAAAAGGAGAGGAAGCTAGGGGCGATGTCTTCTGTGGGTTCTCTTCCGACTTTGAGACATCTGAAGTCAGTAAAGCCCTGTGACTTCCAGGGAAATCTGTTGGCAGGGAGAGGGGCCCATTCGGATAGTGATTATATAGGTCTTTGCCCTTGATCTCCCTCTTCTGCCTCAGTTTCCCTTTCCCCACCCCATCCTAGCTCTTCCTCTTTCTTGTCTTCCACCTTACGCCCTTCTCCAGGCCCTTTCCTTCTCCCCCTTCTTTTCTGCTCTTCCCCTTTATGAGGCCTCACATTGGTTGAGAGTGGCAGGATTGACAGGAAGATAGTCTGGGGTCACCTTGGCCACTTGCAGGCGATGTGACCCTGGAACAGTCCTCTGCCCTGTCTCAGCCTCCTCAACTCCAAAGTGAGGGCGGCGGGAATACCTACTGCTTCGGGGGCCGGGGATCATCACAGTGACCGGGGACACTGCAGCCCGCACAGCTGCCTGGAAGCTCCTTTCTAGCCAGTGCCCGGAGTGGCTGCCCTTTCTTCAGCCAGATTCCTCCTCTGCCAGGCTCCGGAAGAGACAGCTGGTGGCATCTTGCCACGAACACCATGCTCAGTCACTGTCCTCCTGTCCCTGTCATTGTGGGCCGAGCGGCTATCAAAGCTGCCACAGCAGCTGCTCTTGTCCCCACTCACTCAATGGCACCCAGGTCCCCTGAAGTGCAGCCATTCACCTCTTGGAAGGTCACCAAGCTCACTCTGACAAGGTGCTCTCTGTCCTGACTGTGGGGAAGAACATTCACCCACCACGGCCCTCCAATGTAGAATAAAGAAGTTAGAACTGGATTTTCTTTTGAAACAGGGTCTCACTATGTAGTTGAGACTAACCTGGAACTCATTGTGTAGCCCAGGCTGGTCTTGAACTCACAGCGATCCTCCTGCCTCAGCCTTCCGAGTGCTGGAATTATAGGCATGCGCTGCCACCACGCTCAGCTTAGAAATGGATTTTTAAAGAAACATCTTTTATCGCCCCCCACTACTAAAGAAGATAAAGAGAACACCTGGGAAACAGGGAAATATGGTAATGAACATGCTTATAATTCCTTGAGCCCACGCCACTGTTAACATTTTAGAATTTGTCCCTTTGAGCTTTCCCAAGCCGGAATCCAAGGTTCAGCAGGTCTGGTGAGCTCTGTTTTAAGAATCGGAAAATATTTGTATTAATAAAAATAACAACTACTAACATTTCTTGAGCCCTAGCTGTGGGCTGGGCTCCTTTCTAGAACTTAGACACATTACCTCATTTAACCCTCAAACAACCGATAAGGTTTAAGTTCTCATTGCCTTTTCTCTTGTGGCATGGAAGTTACAGTTCAGGTCAGTTCTCCCCTAGCCGAAGCTTTGGGGTGTGGATGATCCAAAACCCCAGAGCCCGTTTCCTTCTGTGTTTGGGACGCACAAGGTGCCCAGGTTTACCCCTTACCTTGTCAGGATCACTCGCTACGACAGTGGATTTGCAGCCCCTGGGAAGTGGCTCTGGGCTGGGGCCAAGGGTCAGCGAGGCGGTCACAGTGGGTCCCCTTAACCCACAGGGGATCCACACAGATGACTGAGTCCAGTCCAGGGAAGTAGAGGGATCATCACTGTGCTCCAAGTACGGCCTGAGCACAGGCTGGACATGGGTGGGGGCAGCCCTCCCCCTGGGGGGGTCACAGGCTGGGGCGAGTTCCAGCCCCACCTTGAGGAAGGGGAACCAACCCCAGTGGAGGGGTTCCCTGGTCTGATGAGGGAGGGGACACTTCACTGTGTGACGGAGAGACTTAGGTCTACCCCAAAGACTCCAAACCAGAGTGTCTAGCAACAGAATTGTCCCATTTCATCAAACCTAGGATGACACTGATTGTAAGAAGCACTGCTGTTTTGTATACTGCTAAAAATGAAAATCACTAATAATTAAACCCTGTCATGCCGTCAGGAATAAGACGCATCTCATTTCAGAGATGTCAAAACATTTTTTAAACCGAAGGTTTATTGTTAATGGATCCAGATTTCCGTTGTTGAAGATGAAAAGGTTCTGGAGATCAGTGGCGGTAGTAGTTGCGTGGCAGTGTGAATGTTCTTCCTTTGAAGCCACTGAGCGGTGCACTTAATGGTGAGATGGTAAATTTTATATCACCAGATGCTTTTACCATACCCGTTTTTATTGTCGTAGTCTGTTGATGTCTCTGGGACCATATACCTGAGGTCAGATAGTCATTTAAAGACACACTTTTCTTAGTTCCCACAGTTCTAGAGCCTGAGGTGGCATAGACCCAGGTGCCAGCAGGTTGGTGACTTGGTGAGCATCTGTTCTCTGTTTCCAAGATGGTGCTTTGGACACTGAGTCCTCGTGTGATAGGAGGGACAGAAGGGCAGTGAAAGGGGCCTGGCCAGGTCCCTCCAGCCCTTTCACAAGACACTGAGCCTCTTATAAGGGCAGAAGCCTCATGACCTAATCACCCCCCACACCAGCACGTCTTGATACTGTCCCACGGGGGAACCATAGCACGTGTAAACATTCTACAGTTTTTAAACCTGAAAATGTATGTATCGGGCTTGGCATCAATGAAATATGATCGCACAAACTCACTGCTTAGGGTCCTGGGATTTGGATGAGGGCGGAGCGCCATGTTCGCTTCCCGGGGGAGGAGAAGGGAAAGGAGAGGAGGGTCCCCAGCCACCTCTCAGCCCCTCTGCTCTCCCACAGGTGCCAAGAGGAGTGCCCCTTGGGGACCTTCGGTTTCCAGTGCTCGCAGCGCTGTGATTGCCACAACGGAGGCCAGTGTTCGCCCACCACGGGTGCCTGCGAGTGCGGCCCTGGGTACAAGGGCCCCCGCTGCCGGGAGCGGCTGTGTCCCGAGGGCCTGTATGGCCCAGGCTGCTCCTTGCCTTGCCCCTGTGACAGCGACAACACCATGAGGTACAGGCCGGGGATGGGACGGGGGCGCGGGGTGGGGTTGCTGGGGTGGAGAGAGGGTTCTCAGGGCATGGCCACCTGGGGAGGACAGAGCCTTCCGTTCCTGTCATCACGCTGATGAGAGGGAGAAGCCAAGAATAGCATCAGAGTCAGGGCCAGATGCCAGGTCTCCTGTGCTGTCCACTGTCCTGGCTGCTCCCATGTCACACTGGGTCTGAGACCCCACACGGGAGCAGGGAGGGAGCTCGTGACCCACAGGGTATGGGGCAGCCCCAGCGCTCTGTCCTTCTCATCGTCCGTGTTTGATCAGAGACCCAGCCGCCAGGGCTGACGCAGGGGCTTGGACCACAGGGCCCCTGGGGATGGTTGTCCGGAAGCCCCGGCAAGGTGGAGGGCTGGGGGACAGAAGAGAACCCTTCACGGGGACTTGGCAGGGGCTGTTGCTGCTGCAGCCTGGACTTCAGTTCAGCCCCTCTTCCTTCCCAGCTTTTGATCTTTCACATATCACCTTGGGGTCTCCAGTCATTGTGAGCAGAGGGGTCTTAGCAGGTATTGTCGCTTAGACAGAAATGGTCCTGAGGCCCAGGTGCTGAGCAGCTGGGGTAGCTCAAGGTAGGGGTGGCAGTTGGGACTGTCCGGGGAGGACCCTGAACCTATATATGACCATCACACGTCCGCTTGATCATTCATTCAATAACCACTGGATGCCTGCAGGGCCGGGCCACGAGGAGAGAGCACAGACCCCTGCATCCCGCTCTGGCCCTCATACTCTGAGCGCTGATACCAGAATCCCAGCCAGCACCAGTAGTGAGGCACAGTGCTATTGTATGTCCTTGAAGAAAAGCAAATTCTGTCAGCAGAACCATGGCATCACGTGAATTGTATAATGCAGCCATGATCAGAGGTGTGAGAATGTGGGGAAAAAGTGGGTCTTAGAGTAGGTGAAACGTACATGGCCAGCTCGGCTGGGTTCCGACACCTACCTGGGTAACTGGCCCAGGGCTGTGTGCAGGAAGGGCCGGAGGAGACTGCTCGGAAGGGTTCCTGGAGGAGGGGGCGGTACCGGGGCTGGTTCGGGAGGCAGGGTGAGAACTTCTCGCTGTAAACATGGGAGGCCCCTGGTCAGGGGACGAGCAGCTGCTTCCCACCGCTCTAGACCAGAGGACAGCGCCAGGGAAGCCGAGGACGGACCCTGTAGGGACAGCACGTGAGACTGCGGCTGGGAGAGTCCCTGCCTCTGAGATCCGAGCAGGCCCCACAGGGAAGAAGTATTGTTTCCCTCCCGTGCCTGAGCAGCCATGCCCTGCATAATTCATCCTCCCTCTGAGGGAGTCCTCAATGCATTATTAATCTGGAAGGACTCCCTCCTCTCCGTCGCTAATCTCAGCCCATCCAATATTAATGATTATTTGCTTTGCTGTCTTTAACGCATGTCGTGTTTCGGGGACAGGGAGGGAGTAGCAGTTCTCAGGTGCTGTGCTCCCGGGGTACCAGCCAGGTGCCTCGGAATGCGCATCGTCCCCTTGGGAGCTCTGTCTCGGGCCCGGACACCATCTGATCCCTTTGTCCACCTGTCCCTGCGTTGCAGGACCCGGCCCAGGGCAGACCTTCAGGGAAAAGCATCGCTGAGCTCCTGTGAAGTGGCCCACTCTCTAGGCGCTTCTGCCTGCTGGCTGAGGCCTGCCCTCATTTTGCTTTTTTAATATTTCACCCCTTTCTCCTGACACATTGCCCCAGTGACTGAGTCCCTGGCACTTACCCATTTCTTCCTTTAGCCTGGCTCAGGCTTTCTTGGCCTTGCCGCTGTTCCCGTTTGGGGCGGGAGAGCCCTTACTTGCAGAGGGCTGCGCTGGGCACTGCAGGATGTAGGAAGTAGCCTCCTTCCCACACCCAGGTGCTGGCCAGCGGTGCTTCCAGTCTTTGCCAGCGTGCAGGTCGGGGGGAGCGGGACAGAGGTGAAGATCCTGTGGTCTGATTGGGCTCTCCCATGCTGCCTTGGTGTTGGACCCCAGAGAGCAGCTCTCTTGCTCCATGCCTCTCTTCCCGTGAGCCTTTGAGCCACTAGAGCCTTCTCTCAGGATCCAAGGATAACAAGGACTCCACAGCCAGAAGGAGTCATACTGCAGGTCCCAGGTGTGGGCCTGGCCCCAGGCTTCCTCTGTCCACATTAATGTCTTGATACATGCACTCCTCCCTCTACCCATTCCGCAGTCTGTCTGTCCCTTTTCATCCACCCAGTAGGGGAAATTGCTCTTGTGGATTTTCAAAAGGAAGCTTCGACTCAGCTCCCCAAGAGGGAAGCGGGCTTGTGTGTCGCCCAATTTCTGCAGAACCTAGGACAGCGCTTCCCCACCCCCACCCCTGTGCCTTGCAAGTCTGGAGCATGTTTCCAGGCAAGACAGTGACCCTGGCCAGAGGGAGGCCTGTCCACCCTGCCCTGGACTCTGCATCTCTCCCTGCTGTCCCCACCTGGCCAGGCTGCTTTTCCTGGGCAGGAGGAGTGGCGGTGAGCTTCCTAGCCCCCGTCACCTCCTCACAGAGAGGACTGACCTTGAGCACGTGTGCCTGGTGTCAGGCCTTTCAGTGTCCCCTCCACGATTGAATTTCATAGACGAATTCCAGCCGCCACAATTGCGCATTACCTTTGAAAGATTTGATTTAGCCAGCAGAATGCCGCATTGATAGGAATCTCAGAGTGGCCCAAAGAACGGCAGAAAAATCCACTCTGAAAAGATTCCTGCATTGTTCGGCTCTCGGCTCCTATTACCTTGTGATTAATCTGTGTCTGCCAAGGTGGGACAAATGGGGAGGCAGAGGGAATGCGAGCGGCCTAAGCACGGGCGGTTGGGATGCTTGCGGGAGTCTCAGCAGCAGTGCCTGGCCTGCCTAGGACCCTAGAGACCCCAGGGATCAGAACTGCCACTGAGAGGAAAGGACACCTGGGAGTGGGTTATGTGGTCCCCTCTGCTGAGGTCAAAGGTGCTGTGCTTGGTGACCATAGTTCTTGGTGACAGTCACTGTCAGCCACTACTCCCAGCCTCTTTTATGTTTATTTATTTATTTATTTATTTATTTTTGAGACAGCGTCTTACTATGTAGTTGAGACTGACCTGGAACTCACTATGTAGCCCAGGCTGATCTCGAACTCACAGCGATCCTCCTGCCTTAGCCTCCCGAGTTCTGGGATTACAGGCATGTGCCACCACACCTGGCCTCTTTTAGTTTTTTGAGACAGGATCTTGCTATGTAGTTCAGGCTGATCTTGAGCTCACTGTGTAGCCCAGGCTGGCTCTGAATTTGCAGTGATCCTCCTGCATCAGCCTCCCAGGTGTTGGGATTACAGGCATGCACCACCACACCCAGTTCCAAATTTGGTTTTGAGCCTTCCAGTTCTCAGAGTAAAAAATATAAGATCAGCACCCAGATCCCCACCGCCACCCCCAAGCAGCCACAGATGGCTTTGGAGAGCAAACGCGGTAAATTCGAGTTCTCAGGAGTCTGTGTGGCTGGTTTCTCTTGGCTGGGCTGCAGCGGGGGAATCCAGGCTGACCACTCTCTCCAGGGCTGGGCAGAGCCAACAGCTGCAGCCAGGACCTGCTAGGCTGTTCCCGGCCCCTCCAAGCCTAACCCTCATCCCCAGAGGAGGCCGGGAGAGTAGGACCTGGACAGGCTCAGACTGGGGGCCCAAGGAGGGCCTCAGAGCCACCGCTGATGGTCAGGGATACCAAGTGGGCCCTGCCTCATGGTACCTGAGCATATCACTGTCTGCCCAGGGTACTCGGGGCTCAGGGAGGGATTCTCAACATCTGTGATAGTCAGAAAGTTTCAGGCACATACCTGTTCTTCTTTCCTGGATATTTATAATTTTTACTGCTTCACATCTATTTATTCATGTGATATAGATGCTTAGCATGGGAAAGTTAGAGAAAATAAAAACAGTAAAGAAAGAACTCAGAGTCACTCATAATTTCTCAACCCCCAGTAAACACAAAAGTCATTTCAGTGTAATCTGTTTATTCTTTAGCCACATCTATGTTTGTGTCACTTTTTTCAAATCACAACTTTGGACGTAATGTGCTTATTTCACTCTGCCTTACGTCCTAGCATTAAATATTTTGGAAAATAATGAATACCTGGCACACGCCTATAATCTCAGCACTCAAGAGGCTGAGACAGGAGGATCGCTACAAATTCAAGGCAAGCCTGGGCTGCATAATAAGACTCTGTCTCAAAAAAAAAAAAAAAAAAAAAAAAAGGAAAAAAAAGAGAAAAAAAAAAAAAAAAAAAAAA